CATAATGAATAATAATGGGGAGAGTGGATCTCCTTGCCTCACACCTCTGTGGCAGTGAACCTCGGAACTGGGGAAAACTGCTACAGCATTCTCATAGGACTGTGCGATGTATCGAACTAGAGGTGACGGAGCTCCAAACTCCCTAGCAGATCTGACGATTGTGTCGTCACAAGCATTACCCTAATCACCGACTCCAACGTCAGCCTCATCACCCTCAGTGTTAAATGCATTCACGGGTCTGTCTCAGTATACGTCTCCAGTGGAGACCAGAATCGAAAAAGTGAACGCGAACGACAGCTAGATTCTACTGTTAACAATTTAACGATCACAACTTTCAAACAAATGAACATCTAAAATTATATGCTGACTGTCTTCCGTCCTTTCGTGTAGTTACGTTTGGGAGCTTTGATACGATTGGATCTTTGTCTTTGTTGGCAATAAACCTTTGTGTAACAGCTTTTTATGTCATCTTTTCAGGATAGTGCGAACTCTTGGGTGCAGTTACGGCCACCATGGCTCTCCCACCGTCGGTGCACGTGAAGCTACAGTCAGTGTAGATCAGGCGAAGGGTCACATTGTCGGTGAGGCTGAGGAAACCCGAAGACTCGCACACGACTGTCTGATCCATTTGTATGAATCAAATCGTTCACTATTTGTCCGCGTAGTGAGCCGGATGATTTCAACCATGTGTATCTCCGATATCATGGAGATGCTACATGCTTTAACTGGGTACTGTCTGGATCCAGCTGTTCGACATGTTGACCATTCGAGTGAGTTATTTTCACGTCCGGGTTATCTGTAGAGCTTGTCACCGAATTGGTCATTCCGAGGAAACCCGATTCCATGTGATAACCCGACAGTTCTCCGTTACAAATGAGCCTACACAAAGTTTGAACTTTTCGATGGATGTCAAGTTATCCTCATCCAAGAGTAGGGCAGACCGGTCGTTCGACAGGATCGTATACCATGCATAACCACGTAGACAGTAAGCATATTGTAAGAGACTCTGTGCATGCTCACCAGACGCTAGGCTTAGTTTATGGTCTAAAGTAACAGGTTGACGGTGCGAAAGATGTCTAACAGACTTGATAAATATTTTGTACCTTGCCGCACAGCACCTACTCAGTCTCGTTCGTAAGTTTTTAGCTGGTCTAGGTGACCAATTATCAGCGTATTATGACAACCGGGGATAATCTCAATCAAAAAATGATTCCGAGCCCAAGTCTTCTGTTGCCCGTCTAATCACAGTCATTTAGCGTTATTGCTTAGTCAATTGGCCTTTACAACAAAACTACTTACTCGTAACAAATGCAGCACAATTTGCATGTGAAATCCAAACCGTCTACCATTTGACCGTTTTGTCAAGAGGTCACATGAATTCGACTATTGAAGAAGGGTTGGATTACACATCTTACGTAAACTGGATCCTTTGCCCTTGTGCATCGTTCTCAAGGGCATAAAAAATAAGCAGCTCTTTCGTACATATAAACTTTGGCAGAATACTCCAGCTTCCGAGACTTTTCGATCGAACAGAAATTATTGCTTGTGATTTAATTTGTACCAGTCCTTCATTTATTTCTCTAATAAACATTTCCCCTAATTTTCATCCTGTTTATCAGTGGTCGGTTGTGTTCCAACCGCCTGCAACGTGCTGATAAGTGTTATCGTTTCTCGTGGGCAACCTAAGAATAGATATTCCTCATTCCCGATATGCGTATTAGATAATCCAAGCAGTCGCAACCAAAAATAAATCGATCGAAATTATGAGCCATGGTATGCGAATGAGACCGAGGCTTGTCACTTTGTTTCCTTCATGGCTGGTTACACCGTCACACCCCATTTGACGGGCCAACTAATGAACGACTGTAAACAAGCTCTGTGATGCATACCCATCACAATTAGGAGCTTTTATCCAAAGTGGATCAGTGTGTTCCCGGTGTGAACAAACACGAGGTTTTGTAGGTGTTCCGTACTAAGCCCAGGTTCACACTGTAGACAGAACGATAGGCAACAGTGACGGAAAATCAAACGTCGATTTCCAAACCGTCTTTCGAGTTAATGATATCAAAACCCCGATTCCGTCCACAGTTTAATTCAATCAGTGACACTGGCCGTCGTTAGTATGTTTTCCACGATTTACTTGAAGCATTCCTTGGATGTCAGCTGTACACTCAGTGAGGAAAGATAATTCAAGTTTGTAATATCCTAATGAAACCAATGCGATGTTCCATCTTTGTCTTGCACGTTTCATAATGCAAAGAGTGTTTCACATTGTCCTGTGATTGTATGCATAGCACCTGAAACTTTGAAATAATGTCAGGTCTGTCCAACGCTCCTGATATTGTTACAGGAAAAACTTTGACGATATTTCTTACCTTTGATGATGCTTTTGCTTGTCTTCGAAATCACGTACCTTAGTTCCACGTGGACAGATGACTAAGTGACCTGATCCACAGCCAACTTGTTTTGCTATTTATGGCTTATTAAATACGATACAAATATTACTCTCCAGCCGTTACTTGGATAAAACCTCAGTGGCTCGCTTACAGGTTTACACACAGAACCTCGCCTCTGACATGAATTTCTGCTACTGTAGAAACCCTCATACCCCGCATATTTTTGAACCTTTCCAGAGAGTCTTTCAAAGATTTCAACATATGCTAACAGCTTTGGTCAGCTAACTCTGGGGATGGGATCACGCGGGGCCGAAAGCATCATCATTTCCTGCATTCTTGGACCATTTCTTCGACGGCTCGTACGATGTCGTTCTGAACTGGTTAGTCAGGAGAACCTATCACTTTTCGGCGATATTCGACAGCTTTTTACCTACCTTCGCGAAGTCCATGGTAGCACGTTTCGCAGAAACATGCTCGTAGCAATGATGTGCCCGATACAACGAGCATGTGAAAGGCCTCGACCGAAAATGCCATCCATGTGGTCACGGATGTAAGTACCTCGGGGGGAATTCGTCTCACTTTTCGAAAGTCTATTCCAGCGATTTCCTATATATGTCGGCTTTCCAAAGGACACGAGATGGTTCTGAGCCAAATGCGATCCTTAGTGGCCCGTTCATCATATTAAAATTCCCGTCTGTAATAAAACAAGCAAATTCGTAGAGAAGCGTGCGTGGTAGGAGTGAGGAAACTACTCGCAGTTTTGTTGGTTTCAACAGGGCAAGACTTAATTCGCGATAATCTCTCACTTCTTACTTAAGTGTCCCACTTCCTGTGTATGCAACACGAGCACAAAGGAGCCGCTTGCAAAACTTCAAGCAAAAAGCGTTGAACAAGAAGCTCACAAACCTAAACACTTTCTTCCACCGATAGCAGCCGTGTCATAATGCCTGAATGGTCTTGGATTAGGGCTCTAAAGAGTCATTTCCTCTATGGTTCTGACTTTGTTGGAAGCGCCAAAGGGTGACGCTGAACTTCAAAACGCTTTCTCATTTATACGCTGACTGCGACTATGTGGGATTTCATTGAAACGTTAATGGCTCATGTTATTGCGTGAGTACGACTAGATTTGTAAGTCACTTGTACGTTGAAAACCCAGTGCAGAAGAGGGCTAGTTGAAGGCGATCAATGCTGGATCAATGGGGAAAGGTGTGAGAATGGGGAAGGAAAGTTTATTGTCTTATTTGTTTCCTACATTGTTCATCAATCACCCACAAATAAATGAGTGTTCAGCTACTATCTCGGAGTTGGCATGTGTGAAACTCCTGGAAATTTTGCGAGATTGAATAGCTGACGGTCCCTGTCAAGCTTAAAACCACTAGACTACTCTTCTTGGTCCGCGAAATGCAAAACATCTGCGTTGCCGACAGATTTGGCTTATATTTTCTCCGTACTATATTCCAAAAGATTGTGCTTAAGATGACAAGCAAATTTTCCAAAGTGCGCTAATGTGAGTTTACTTCAAGGTCGCATATCTTCTTTCACCCAACTCTACTTTCAGTTTGCTGTAAGCAACGCCGGTTCTGGTTAGCGAGTCACGTTTATTCAGTGAATTTAGTTTGTGGAATAGGGCACCTCTCATCAGCTGAATAAATTTGTTTTTCCATTCCAGGTCTACCCGCAATTCAATGTGGCTTCTGCCAAGGCAGGACAAACAACGTTCCAACAGTATTTTCGCTGAGGCCATAGTAGATGAATCAGCCAGTGTTGCACGCGGTCACAGGCTGACAAGTTGGCATAACCTGTTACCTCGTGCCTCTCTCGTCGGTAGAGGTATTCGTATTAACAGTGGATCAAGTTCGGCTGCCATGATGGACAGAGGTGGGTAACCTGTTCGAGTGTGTTTTTTTCTGGTTTCAAGCATACAAAGTGATAATTCAGTATCAATGGTAAGAATATTGTCCACTGGCGCCCATCGACTGATCATCCTCAATCCAATGTGTTTTGGCGACTTGCACCACAAACTCCAGTTTGCGGATAGACATTAATTTCGAAGCACGATGCACGAAATTGGGGTACAAGCTGCCCTTTATTCTTAAATTTATTTAACGTTCTCGGTCTATGAGTGATGAAAAGTGGTGTGCAGATGACTGAATACATTACGCACAGGGTGCATGTTTGATGTGAAAGCGCATAGTAAGTCAAACACCCTTCCTGAAGCGTACGAAGCGCTATTAGTACAACTCTGGTCGGTTGACTACAGCTGTCATGAACTGCTCTCGTTTACGTTCACCTTGTTTAATTGTGCACGAGTTTAGGAGTTAATTTTGGTCTTCGAAATCTGAGCAAAGGTCATCACTGAGTGCAACATTGCCCTAGTGAAAAAATGCTAATGGTCAAGACCTTTCCAGACCTCTTGTTGTCAGGTTTTTGAGTGTAAATTTATTTCAGAACTGTTCCCGGTTCAGTTCTTTTGGGTCATTGTTGACTACGTTGTGGTGATCATCTTTTCTCGAGGAACCTGTCCTCAAGTTTGTAACTGTATGCATCTCTACACATAGCCTTTCAAATGATTTTTTCTAATCTTCCTTGGCTGTTCTGAAGCTTTCACTTACTGCTCTTACTATCCATCATTTCCAAACGTTCTTGGATTAAGAACAGTTTTGTTTAGACGATTCCCCGGCATGCTACTCACTCACATGATCATCCAACAAAGCCTGGTTCAACATCGAGCACGGGCTCCCATTGGCAAAACAAATATAGTTTAACTGCTATAAAAATTAGTCTCGGAATCTCCATCCCTGTTCGTTTGTCTAGGGAAATATTTTTTCGAGCAAGTAATCCGCTTCTATTCATTCCTGTAGAGCAATCATACACACACTATGTGAGCACTGCAGTCTTCCGCGAATTTCCTTTTGGCCTGACAAAGCCGTTTCCATTAAATGAGTCCATCATTCATTCGATCCATATTCGATTGGGTTAGAATCGATTATTGGGATCTGCTCACGCAGCTCGTACGCCATACGGAAAGTTGTGGCGTGGGTTAGTGGACGCGTTTTTGAAAGGTAGACAGCTCGGGCTTTACTCGTTTGTCCGGATTTGCGTGCGTTCACACACGTTTTCTCAATGCTGCTGAGCAGATCTCATCTCACGTTGATCACTCGTGTGGCTGGACTGAAATTTTTCACTCACCAAGTTTTGTTGGCTGTGCTACCGTGACCATGGAACGAGGGACAGCTACACGTACTCGGTAGAAAGACAGACAGACGTTCACCAAGGTAGTATCTACCACATTAACTATCTTATTAGATAGCATGTAAGTCGAAGTAAAAAATCGTATGATACGCACGGGACTGAAAGTGCTATTAGCATGAATATCAGCAAAGTGTAATGCGGCTTTCCCCAGTGTGATTATGAATTGCATTTGTTTGATCATCATACAAATTAATTTATGGAGAAAACGGAACTGTTCTTGATGTTGTAGCGATTCCTTAAAGTACATATCATATTCACAAGTTGGCGGGCATTTATTTTATCATGTGCTCCTGCTCTAAATCGGAATGGAAAATGTTGCTTGTGTATCTACAAAGAGGAGTCAATTAGCTTTAGAAAACGAACAACTCTGGATGAACCTTTTTGTCAGTAGTTAGCAGATGCGTTCAGCTTATACAAAAAGTCTTCGAAAAAGGATAGTATGACCGGTAGACCACCGGATTTAACTGACCTTGAAAGTGACCGGATAATCTCCAGCAGTAAAATCATGCAAGCTCCTTAGCTGACCAGGGGACGTTTCCATTTCAGTGAGTATTTGGGGCCAACTGCCTTGAAGACTGATAACGGCTAGGCATGAGCACATAGAAGATAAAAACAGTCCTGTAAGTCGAAAGTAAGGAGGTATAGTTTTAGAATTAGGCAGTGATTTTATTCTTTGCAGATCCCCATGTAGATGGAACAAGCATTTTAGTGCTATGCCTAACTTCCTGAACCCTCATTGCTAAATTCAGGGTTGAGTAATTTCTATTTGCTGGGGCTTGGAACGTCGGAGCACCTGGAGGAACCAGAGATCTTGGCTCTACGCTAACCGCCTACGGTAGGGGAAATATAAGAATACTTCATTTACCATCTCTACAGCAAAAATCAATGCTTCATTTTTACAGAACAATAAGACACAACAAGGTACAATTAGCTTGGCCCTCATTAAACGTTTTGACTGATGTATGCCGTTAAAACTGAGCTCTCTAATCGTGTCTGGTAGCCAGTGTGTGTTGAGATTTGGACAACAAGTGTTAATGATTGACCTAAAGGTCTGCAATAGATTTATCTTCTTTGAGTAAGTTCATTGACGGAACCCAGTCGCCAGCATCGTGTCCTATGTTTTAACGGGGAAAAACCCGAGGGCATCAGCGAGCTCGTTGGCTTTATACCTATGCTTAGTTCGTAATTGCCCACCAATGATAACGGTGCAGTCTAAGTTGACCACTGTTTGCCTTCGTCTGTATTACTCACAGTAACGGACACGTCTCACGGTCGAGGAGATGGTGAGTCGGCCGCCGCTCAGCAGCTTGTGGAGCACCGCTGGGTGAACGCACCAGCATTGAAAGAAGGATTGCTCGAATTCTCGTTTCTAATGGAGTGCTGTGAGCCAGGAACTATATTGGAGCCAGAACTTGTTGCTGCGTTATTGGATTTGGTGAGTTTTGGGCTGTGATATAGAAAAACACTGAATGAATTCCTAGAGCGCTCCAAAGGTGGTTGCATGTTCTGATCGTCTTCTTCACACCGTAGTCCCTTATTTCATCGGTAACTCTGGAGAAGTTCCGCCTATCAGGTAGGGTATTTGGGCTGGATATGTGGGCATTCCTCTTGAAGGACTTCCCAGCCCCGCCGGGTTCAAGAACTCCCCAAGTGACCAAAAGAGAATTTAGTCCTCTCAACCAAAGGAGGTGAACTTGTCCAAATGTGGAGTTGGCAAATCCTCGCTCACCGTGCAGCAACAGTGCATTTGAAAAACATACTTTAACTTTGCATGATAAAACACTGGAGCTCTCTTAAGATGCCAGTATTTCCTTTTAAATCTATTCAACTACAGTACTAAGACCGTGCACTTTCGTATCGTAAATAGGGATAAACCCAAATAAGGCCGTGAAACGGAGCCAGTTGCATTGCGCCGCGATCAGGTCTATTTCCCGAATTCAAGGGAAATTAACAGATTATATCAACGTCTTTGAGTCGTGGCTATTTCACTGACTGGTAGACTGGAAGTTGCGACTCTAGAACCATTCTCGTTCATCACGGAACCGATGCCAATGACTGATTTTGTCGTTGAACCCACATTACCTACTGCGTAGTCTCAATCCAGATTTGTTAGTTTTCAGTGTGTCGGTGATGTTCGTTCAAAACTCACCCCGCTTGTGCGCATACAAAACCTTGACACAATGTGTCAACTTGGTTTGAAGTTCATAGCTACGCATTGCTGGCCCAGGGTTGGCTCAGGTTTGTTGTCTCACTCTCTACTCATAAGTAGAATGTTTTTAGTACAATGAGGCTGAAATCAAAAGTTCTCGTATCCTTGAACGTTTATTTTTTTTTTACTGCATTCGCATATTAATCAGCCATTCTCCTTTCCGGGAAGAAATCCTTGAAGTAGGTCAGGAGCCTCAGCTGTATCATTTGTGATTTTTCCAAGGAAAACCAGTGTTGTTCGGTTCCTTTGGAAGTACTTTCTTCAGAAGTACAACTTCCGTAGTTTTAAGCAAAAAATCTATCGTTTGATGCAGACTTTTAATCCCAATTGTTAGCATCTCAATGTTTTTAATTATTCTGGCTACAGGATGCTCCGGTTGTTGCTAGAGCCTGTCTCCTGTTGGAATGCGCAGCATTTGTACACCGTTGCAATCGTGGTGAATGGGCAGGCTGGATGAAATTCAACTTACCGAGCTCCTTCCACCACAGTGCAGCAAGCAGTCACCCGACTAGCGTTCGCCCAAGTCCTGGAACAGGAGTGGGAAGCGGTGCCAGTGGTGGCAGTGGAACGAACGTTGATAGTTCCGTTTCTGATATAGCGGCCCTCAAACGTAATGCTGGCCGACTTTTTCATGCATGGGGAGAGGTAAGAACGCATTTTTTCGCCTTAATGTCTACACAACCTTATTGACGTCACTTGACTAAACGTGGTAGTCAAGAAGTCAACGCATTCACTCATCTGCCTAACTCCCGTGTCATGAGCTCTCTGAATTGGCGTGGTCCGTTATCATAAACTGAGGTTATCGTTCAGCGTCAGCACTTGCGTAGCGGTAATTTATGAACTGTGAGTCAACAGTAGCGTAGCTTCCAGCTTCATACTCATTGAATCTTACAACACTGCGATTCCATGGTATGGTGAAGAGTGAAAAACTTGGGAAAGACCGTTTTGTTTTGTACAACCAAGCCAAGAACTATATGCTCAAGCCTGTTTTCAATATTCTCTTGCTGGTATTGAATGTCTAAGTACATCGTACAAGATGTACTTTCGCAGAATTTGGTTGATCGGTTTTTACACTATCCGTCCAGTTTCGCTTGATACGCCAGATAAAATACTGTAATATTCTCTTCTAGTTCTACCCTCATTATCAGTGCTACTCTTTTTATCACAGCGAATGGCCTTAAGAGGGTCAGTATCAAACATCCCCTTCTCCTGGCCCTTGTTTCGTGAGCCACCTAGAATTAGGACCCAACTTGATCAAACGAACAGATGAATGGATTCGTATCGACCGAAATCCTGCGCTCTTGTTTTATGCCTTTCAACCCTATCGCATTTCCTCTTATGTCCTGTTGTTCTTCCCCAACCCCTAAACACGCATTCGTGCGTGAGCTCCATATCGCCCCAAATGGCGCCAATTTCCTGAGAGATTCTCTATGGTCTCTTTGTGAGTATTTGTGTGCATATCTTTCCGCGGGACATTTTCAGTCAGGTTGACCTAGTCTCTAGTTTACATAACTTGTTTTGCTTCCAAGAACGCCATCTCCTCTTAATAGACTAGGTACTCGAAGTTTTTGAAGAAAGCAAAACCATGTATAGGGCTATTAGAAGCTTACTGGTGTGACTGCGTATGCAATGTCCTAACTATTGAGCCTGTATTCACTAAGACGTTCATTACGCCGTATCAAATTTCATTTGTAGGAGAGGGTTATTCGTAAAGTCTCGCCATCAGGATTCGTAAACTTTGATTTCAGAGTTCTTATCGCCCTTGATTGCGGCCGTAATGTTTCCTCCAAAAGTGACAGTGTCCCTCATCTTTTGAGTATTTGAAGCGTGCTCATAGATCTTGTCTACTGGCAACTGTTTCAGCCACGATGACCAATTTCGCGAAGGTGTACTAGGCACTACTAACTCAATTATGATCAGATTTCGCATATATATACGTTACCTAACCACTAATGCCAAGTCAGTTCCTAAGCACCATCTCATTTATTTCGCTGCACTGAGATAGACAGATTTTTTCAAGCAAGGCCTTCGGGTCGACATAGGTACCTTATGGGGTAATCGTAGATGACTTGAAATGACCCGTCTGATTCGATTATGAGACCACATGTGACGCGATCGAACCTTCGGCCTCATCGCTGCATCAGTGCTTGCCGATTCTGTTGCCGTGTTGTTGTTGCGTGTCTATCATATCTCGCTTTACAAACGCAAGAAACATTACACACAGCCATAATTTTTGAGTGGGCTGGCATGACACAGATGGTACTTTATCCTCATTTGACAGCTTGATTTGAATTCTACCTAATCACCTAAAGCACAAACCACAGTGCACTAGACGCTGTAACTTATCTCGTTGATTCCATTGCTTCGTCTTTGGAGAGGCGTGATCATATAATGATTTCTTTATACGTCTTCTTCCCCAGGCCTCTCTCTTCTTCATCATACAGTCCATTGTGCGTTTTGCTCTGCTTCCCAATTTGGTTGGTTGACCAGTCGTTTTTCCCTGCATAGGTTGAATGACAAAGTTCGAGATGAATTTTATCATGGTTACTTTTCATGCCACATAGTGGTGATCATGTAATGGCCATTCACATGGCTAGATTGTTCACACAATATCCTCCAAGAAATCAGGAATGTCATAGTGGCGGGCATCTTAGACCTTGTTACCAGCCCGACTTCTATGGCGAGGAATTTCGCCAGTAGTATTCATCACCCGCTTCCTCCATAAAAACACACATCAAACCGTTTGTTCCCAAACCTTTGTATAAGTCTACTTGCTTCCGAAAAGCCGCTAACCATTTCACATAAACACTTGTAAGGGAGAGCCTGTTTGCTAGTACGCTCACCCTGGATGAAATACATATATACATTGGGTTCACGATTGCTTATGGCGACATGCTGCTATCACCAGATATGTGAATCGAGACAGATGAGCTGAACAAACAGAGAGCAGTTCAAAAGTAGAGGAAATCTAAAATCCAACGAAAATGCAACGATCTTAGCGGTGTAAAGTGGGCAGAACAACAGCCACGAAACTTTCCTAATCCAGTGATTCAATCAAACTGATGTGCAATGTCTATGTAGGTTGCCTGAGAAAAGATTGTAGTGAGAACTACTGTCAGACCACGTGGCGATAACACTTTCAAGCATGCACATTTACACCCAGCAGTCAGATCAGTTTCCAAGGTTCACCCAAACGAAACACAGGTACAAACGCGTAGGGACGTCACAGCAAGTGGGCAGCATCCTGCAACTCTGACCAGTCATCCCTACTTCACTCTGTATCCAAATTTGGCAGCAGGACACCTTTAAACAGATAACCATATAATTCGCCATGAAACATCATATCTAATTAATTCGTGCATATGCTGATAACTCCTGCTTTCGCCCGGCTGTTTCGTCCACATTCCACTTTTTTCGCCTCCGAAATAGGCTGACCGATTTAACTCTCCAGAAACATTGCAATGACGTCGCCATATCGCTCTTTTGTTGTTTCCACTTATTGAGATCTTGTGGAGTGTCTACCTTACTGAACATATGCCTTCCCTGCTACAACTATTGGGACGTGAGTATATTCATGACAGTCTTCTCAAAGCCCAAGGAAGTCTCTTTTTCCGAGGAGATTACTTCGATTCCATTAGTAGTACGGCGATTTACTTAAATTCGCCTTTCTGTTTTTTTATGTGACCAGTGCCGCTTTAGACATTTCCCCGTCATGAGTCCTTTCCTACTTAATCAGGACACTAGTTTGGCCAGTTCTCTTTCTGCTGAATATATGACTTGGAATTTAACCCGAGATCGAGTGTCCCCTAGGAGCATTCCCTTCTTTTGAGAATAATTTCATGACTCTCCAGTAGAATAGTCAGGGAAAAAAAATCAAATTCTCCACAAACTTATGAAGGTCTCTCTGGGGAAGGAGTACAACAGTTTCATCCACGAGATGCAATGTATTTATTCGCGAGTTATGTGGTTCAGCAAGTCAGAACAAATATAAGCCCCTGAAATATCAACTGCATCCGATTGAACAGTGATATTGCTAAACGCTCGAAACTTTTCTTGACCTGAAACCACAAAGTACATTGTATGAGAACTGAAAGGCAAAGGATTCGTGAAATTTACCGTTTTCTGGTTCCATGAATTGTATTTTCCAAGGCACGATGCTATTCAGATAAGCTTCGATGGACAATTAGATAAGAATGCTTCATTTAGTCTTTAGATCGGCATAAAAATGACTGCTAAATAAAACTGTTGCGCATTACCTATAAGAGGCGAATTCCTAATGCCCACTGAAAGAAATTCTACGATCAAGGTGGATGAAGTCCTTAATTCGCAGAGATAGAAATACGGAGTACATCCACTAGTAATCTATTTTAGATTATCTGATGAAGATTCGATTCCGTATGACTTTCAGCCAGATACTCGTTTGTTTGTTGCCAAGGTATCAACTATCGCCCCAGTAGTCTTCAAATATCTACCTGATGCTTGATTTACGGGTTATCTGAGCAGTGATTCAGACAACAAAATGGAACACATGATTGCTGAGCATGATGCGTGTATTATGATGTGACAGTTGACAGGTTGACTTTCATAGGTGGACTTCTGTTGTCGGACGAGGGTATTTTTGAGAACCCAGAACGCAAATTCAAATCGTAATTACGCTCACGAAATTCAGGCCATAACAGAAATGGTAAGTTAGACTGTAAGTTGGGCAAGTACATCAATATAAAGATATCCTTGTCAAACTCATAAGGCTGGTCAAATTCTTCGATAGCCCACGACCGGTTTTGCCGTCCTTGGGGCTCATCAGGCAATTGCAATCCCCGAGTTTCCGTCTAACTTATGTTCTACTTGAACCCAAAATTACAGAAATACACTCATTTGCAAACAAATTTGGTTTTGCGGGAGACTCAACTGGAACCTCGCTGAATCTCTCGTTTATGCTGTTTTTCGGTAGCACATTCAACTGGGTTCCAGCTGGGTCTTCCAAATAAACAAATATGTATACAAATAAGTGTATTTTGTGTGATTATACTCTGTTCGACCAAGTGCACCAATCTGCAAATTAACTTGGTGTTGACGATGCAATCAACAGTTTGTCGGCTGAGTCTTTCGTTTATAATATACCCCAAATGAGGGTTTTGTCCAAAGGCCGTCTCAAGCTTCAGTTTTACGACACTTGAAATATCAGAGAATATTTACTTTGCTGAAAACACTATTCATGGGGTTGCTGGCTATTCTTTGGCGGAAATTCCTGGACTGTGCAACAACGATGGTGAAACTCATCGTGGGTATTCGGGGAGTTTTCAGCAACCCGTAGAGAAGTGTTTCGTCATGAAAGTATGAACAATGTTCTCCACATCACCAAATACCGACTCTGGCAGACTGCCGAAAAGCATTTCTGTGGTGTACACGTACTATACCGATAGGCTGCAATCAACAAGGGCAGGAGGAAGGGATGACTGATAGAACCTGGCTCCACCCCTTATATTTTCCCTCATGGCCTGCGGTTAATTTTGCCTACCAGGAATAAAATGTTCCACCATCGGCTTTGTTTGGAACCGATGGCTTGTTGGGATGGAGACAAGTTCATTCTGCGGTGCGACAACATAAATTTTCCCACTATACCTCTAGGCTCTTGGAAGACGGTTAGGCAGCTTCATCCACCAGTTGAATGCCAACGGCCAGCCGGCGAAGTCAACGTCAGTTAATGCATCCGGCACCGCTACTCCAGACAGACGTAAGGAAACTGTGCCGGGTCAACAGTTCTCCGCCCTGGAAACCGAAGAAAACTTCCTTGACGATGGTAAGAATCATGATTACCTTTATCTTCGTCCCTTAAGATATAAATGTCTCACCTTATAATGTTTTTTTTGGCAACCACATGTACGTTGATTCTCACTCCTCGTCGGTTTACGGTGACAGCACGATAATAGGACTGGAATTCACAACTAAACCAGACCACGTTTCACCTAAACTACCAAAGAATATTATGAAGGACCTCCGGCTAAGTGCAATCCAAAATGATGACCCCAAAAGAAATCAATCTCCCCGGATAATTCACGTTTCCTTGTCAGCGCTTTTCCTCAAAAAGATGCAAAGTAAAACATACTGTCGCTATGCCGCTGAACACCCGGTGCCCACAAGCTCCCGAAGAAATTCCACTGTCCTTGCTATCCGGCAAGCCACACCCCGTTCCTGGACACCCAACACCACGTGTCAGAAACTACTTCGGCAAATGAGACAAGGTTTGGGTATGTCCGCCATAGAGTATGTTTTCTGCTTAACGGACGAATGCATCAAACGAGCGTGTCACTGTTTCAACTGTGAATGTGCCTGAGGCACCTTGTAGTCGCCCGACGAAGGCAAACGAACATGTCACGCGTTATAGGTATGAATCAAGCAGTATAAATGATCCTGTGAAACCCTAATTTAACCAAATAACGACGGTAAATCCGGCTCTTTTGGATGCTAACTTCAAACCACATCCTGTCCAAAACCACCTGATTTGGATTAGCCGCGTTCACCTGTACCGCTCCAGAGGGCTTATCCAGCTCTGCAAAACTGCAAAACGGGTGGAATAGGAGTATAAAACCACGCATCAAACGCCTCATAAAACTGCTGGAAACCTTTCGATACAGACAGTCCCGTTTTTTCTTATTAGAAGGTAGGCGCAGACCACAACTTTTTAATTCGACCGAAATTTTGGTCTACTTGAACATCATGTTAGATGTCCGGGGTTCAAATCCCGGCACGGCCTTTGGATATGCACTGCTGATGAGCTCTAATAAGAGGGAAACTCGAGTCCAGTGCTTCCCTTTGGTGTGGACTCACCGGAATAATTACGCCAGAACAGGAACACGGCCGTCCAAACGAGAGTGGTGTGGCTATGAACAAACATACCTATCCCGCAAAACCCCGAAATTGGAACATCAAATCATATGCAGTGGACTAGATGTACTCATTTGTAAACTAAGTTGTTGTTGATGAGAGACTCAACTGAACTTCAGCTGAATTCCTCTTGTATGGCTTTCCAGGGGACACCGAGGCCCACTCAGAAGATGGAGTCGATAAATTTCAGCGAAGCCTGAACACAGTGACCCAAATCGGCAGTCTTTACCTAATTTTCTAGATAGTTTGCTGACAGTTATTCCTTAATTGGAAGTGAGATATGTCGATTGAAGGGAAAATCTCCGAACTGCGTGATGAAGGCAGCAATCGAACTGTGCAATTCCAAAAATGGAGCACAAATAAAAGTGGATGAGTACAACTGAAGTCATACTGGGCTTCTTTGAAGACAAGGATTTTAAGATATTTATAGTAGGTGCGTAAAGGAGCTAATCCCTACTAGGGAATAAAAAAGAAGTAAGATAGTAAATGAGTCCCGGAAAATTTATCAATCTGTCATAAAATATCTGCCAAAGCGTTTTTCTTCCGTGTCTCACAGACCCAAATGTACCTCTCTCTTCGGGTTGAATTTTTTTTAAAAGGTTGGGAACAGAGCTTGTTACGAACTAGATAGCACGCCTCGGTCGTCGGCGCCGTTTTCTTCAAAATCCGAAGCTGCCGTTACAATGCCGGTGAACTGCACTGGTTTCTTCAGCGGTGGTCTATCAGTGGTCGTTACTGCCCACGTGACCTACTTACCTGGATAGCGAGTCTTTCACAATAATTGCCGAAATTCGTATGCGACGACAGTATAATCTGAGAAAAAATTAGACAATATTACCAAAAGCCGTTGGGAAAAATGTAGTTTCCTCGATGGTTTCAGGAATAATTATTCCCAAAAATGACCCACAACTAGCCATAATTCCGTTATCAGAATAACTTAGTTACTGTGGGAGAATAAGTGTTTGGTGCAAAGGAATTGCCTGTGTCGGGTCTTGCAGTAGTTTGTCCCCCTATAACACAAATTTAGAACAGACTGGACCCTAATGTGATGCGAACTTTTGAAGGCCATGTAATTCCTTGAGGTGACTCACGGAATTTCCCATCCTAGGCTAATCATTGGAGAGATGTCTGCCATTCACAGTTTTCTGGACCTCCAGTCTGAGAAGGTTGTCATACAACCTGGATTATTTTGCCCATAAATTTCCTTTTGATATTCGAAGATTTTTTCGATAAAATAAACATGAATACATATTTTCTAGATTATTCGTAAGGTTGCTGACAAGTCTTCGACATAGCAACATGTAGATTGACCAATATTTTGTGCATAGTTGTAGTTGTCTGTGCTTTTGATAGTTTATGTATTTCAGTAAACCAGCTTATAGCAATGTCAGCTTGATGCGCGTTTTCCCCAAATTCGACTTTGTAGCTTCAGTGAATCCGACGGGTGATAGTTGCCCGTATGCACTGCTTTCCGCCGGCGTCCAGCTTCTACTTGAAATCACCGCTTATCTGCGAGAAATGCATCCCCGCTTACCACAGCCAGTCATAGACGAGCAAGCATCACAGCCGGTGCGCCAGCCTGTAGGCGATCAACCTTCTGATAGTGGTCTCGTGGCCAAAAGACAGCATTCCTATGACCCTAATGCTGAGAAGGCCGGATCATTCTCTAAGCACCTCAACTCGTCACCTTCACGCGCGGGTACCTCATTCAGGGCAGCGCGACGACGCCTCAGTATCCTCATGCCAATATTCGGTTCGGGTGGATCGATGAATGCAGATGAGCCGGAAGTAGATGCGGAGCAACCAGCATTGCCAGGTAAGCTGCATTCTTAAACTGACTATACTATACTATACTACTAAGCTATGCTATGCTACACTATACTATACTATCGAGTGGAAATAGTGTGCTCTAAAAAAGCTACTCACGAAACATTTACATGCCACTATACCCCCATACCGTTTCTTTATACAGAACCCAATTTGAAAAGTCGTCGGAATTTGGGGTCGCGTCGTATTAGTTTTGCCATGTTCACTGAGGCAAAAGATCGCAAGTCATCTTTGGCTGGAAGCTCTACTTCGCTGGATCGCTCACCGGAATCGGGTTTGTTTATCGTTCAGAATAACTGATGTATCTCTCGGGGGCGACCTCATTTAATCCACTAATATTTTACTGCAGCATCATGGTGGTCATCTGTTGACTGGATTGATGCCGTTCAATATTTTAGAAATCATTGTAACCTTGAGCAAACTGGCTGGAAAGGGAGGTATGGTAGAATCCCAATTCGTTAAACTGTAGACCCGAATTACAGGTCAAGTAAAGTATAAGAGAACCATCTGTACTATTTAGTCAAGTAGTTTTGAGGTCTCATGCGCTCCTTCCCCGCCTATAGTGCATCAAGCATAGCTTTCATCCATCATCTATCTTCACATAACACGGTGATCAAACCGGGGATTTCATTGATACACATTTATTAGATTATGCCTATGAGCTATTATTAGTGTTTCATGACAACCTGTACCTCCACAACTTTCCCAGAAGGAATAAAACAGACAGCAACAAGATGTAAGCTGATCTTTTTCCCACCTAACGATAAGATTTAGTCGCAGCAATAAGACGGTGCAGCTGCTGGACATAATTGTGTGACCGCCTGGTTGCTAGTTAACATAGAGATGAATTTGGCACTAACTTCCCACTAACCAAATCGTCATTATCGTAATCGATAGTACAACAGTAGTTTTTAACACAAATTATTCGCTGCTTTACAAACCTAATTGTAGAGAAAAGAATAAAATGGGATGGGGAAACGCTTTCTGCTATGGTCATTCCGAAGTGCCTGTGTTAATGCTCTAAGAGGTCCCGAGAGCTAGTTATACAAACAAGAAAACTGCGAGCATTAACAATATCAGCTTGTTGAGGAAAAGTTATTACAATAGTGTAAAAAAATGAACAAAGGGACTTATCGTATTGCCGATTCAAGTTGATAAATCCTTTTGTGAGTACGGATGCAGGTTTCGTGTTTTCTGCGCCGTTGTAGTGGCCACACGTAGTCCTGAGTATCCGTGATTGAGGCGTTGTAAGTCCCAAGCGGCTCTACTCCGAGTTGTGTGACGTGCGAAGCTGCGTTGAGTTGTGTTGTGTTGCTGTGCTGGCATCCTATTTGTAGGACGTTTGCGTGTGTGTGGGGTATAAGCACATGTCTTGTTGCTACCGTATCAGACGGTAGACAGTCGATATCGGATGAGTCATCCTTGTGTATCGTGGTTTGTACGTGTAGGGTAAAAAACGCGGTCTTGGGATCTAGGGCTTGACTGTGAGCTGTGTAGTCAAGTTAGTCACGGTTGTGTGGCTTGATTTGTGAGTGCAAGGAAAAAGATAGATCTCGTGATCTAGCGAGTGGCGGTGACCTGTACAGTCATTTACGTGGCGAAAGGGTAGCTACACCTGCACCCCTGAACACTCAGAAGAGAGACTGGCAACAACAGTGCCATTGGAATCAGTGAGGAGCCATACCTTTCAGCATCTCCAACCATGCGCAGGGCAGATCAAGCGGACTTTATACTGAAGGACGAATTGCGCCGATAATGCCTATACTTTTCCTGACTGGTTTCATTTCCCTCCACCATGTCAAATGTAGACTACCTCCCTTCTACAGTCACTCTGAAGTACGCTCGGAGGACAGCGCTCTCTTCGGTTACACATTACTAAGCCACCGCAGATTTTAGTTCTGTAAATATTCTCTGACTGAAGTCTCCGCTACACAACCGAACACTCGCTTTCTAGGCGCCTAGTCACAAATTCGCCTAGAATAACCCACACGACCTGAGGTTATGACACAGCTGTTGCCAAAGATTTGAGGAGTTTCGGTTCTGCTGCTCGAATAGGCCGTCTCACAGCGATTCCACCCTAATGTGGCCTGGTACACACGTTCCTTGTGATTCAGTGATATGCCACATTCATTCTATAAGTGCCCCAAATTAGCAGCAGCGACTCCAGGCTTGGATATTTGTTTGTTGACCTCATCTGTCACACTACAATTGGATCTAATAAGACTTCTAAAATATGTAAAACGCTCCACAAATTTGAGTGTTTCTCCTTGGATTGTGAGTAACCTGTTCAGTAAGTACTCAGGATCATGACCAACAAACTTTGCGAGTACGTAACAAAGGATCGGGTGACCTTAGCTGGTTCGTCCAAAAACACATGTGCCTTCCTGTCTCTGAATGCGGGTTGACATGGTCTGCATAATCCAGATCGACAAAGTTTCCAGTTCTCTCTAGTTGTCTAGGATCATCTTCTTTTCCCACATGGATGCAAACAGATTACACAAGAGGAGACTGAGGACTGTATCCGCATACTTGAACAATGAGGGTGGGAGATCACGTGGTTCAGTAGCTCGGTGACTCTCGAGAGAATATATGCACTCATAGATCTCCGAGGTTGTGGGGGTTTCCAGGTTCGTCGTCCAGAATTCTCTCTTAGTTCCAGACCCAAGTGAGTCGAGCATTTAGATTGAAAATTGTTGTCCCGAGTGCTTGACCCAGCGTTCAAGGTGTCTTTCCTCACTGAAGGTGGTCGCATCTCCTTAATCCCCGATCGTTCCCCTCATAGGCGCATATTCTCTGAAGTCTCCGCTACACAACCGAACACTCGCTTTCTAGGCGCCTCGTCACAAATTCGCCTAGAATAACCCACACGACCTGAGGTTATGACACAGCTGTTGCCAAAGATTTGAGGAGTTTCGGTTCTGCTGCTCGAATAGGCCGTCTCACAGCGATTCCACCCTAATGTGGCCTGGTACACACGTTCCTTGTGATTCAGTGATATGCCACATTCATTCTATAAGTGCCCCAAATTAGCAAACGCGACCCCAGGCTTGGATATTTGTTTGTTGACCTCATCTGTCACACTACAATTGGATCTAATAAGACTTCTAAAATATGTAAAACGCTCCACAAATTTGAGTGTTTCTCCTTGGATTGTGAGTAACCTGTTCAGTAAGTACTCAGGATCATGACCAACAAACTTTGCGAGTACGTAACAAAGGATCGGGTGACCTTAGTTGGTTTGTCAAAAAACACGTGCCTTCCTGTCTCTGAATGCGGGTTGATATGGTCTGCATAATCCAGATCGACAAAGTTTCCAGTTCTCTCTAGTTGTCTAGGATCATCTTCTTTTCCCACATGGATGCAAACAGATTACACAAGAGGAGACTGAGGACTGTATCCGCATACTTGAACAATGAGGGTGGGAGATCACGTGGTTCAGTAGCTCGGTGACTCTCGAGAGAATATATGCACTCATAGATCTCCGAGGTTGTGGGGGTTTCCAGGTTCGTCGTCCAGAATTCTCTCTTATTTCCAGACCCAAGTGAGTCGAGCATTTAGATTGAAAATTGTTGTCCCGAGTGCTTGACCCAGCGTTCAAGGTGTCTTTCCTCACTGAAGGTGGTCGCATCTCCTTAATCCCCGATCGTTCCCCTCATAGGCGGTTTCCTAGTACCGGTTGGGCATTCCAGACTTTCCTGGCCTCCCATTTTCGGAGCCCTACGGGTTCAAGTCTTCATCGTTGACTAGAATGGTGAGCTGCACTTGATGTCTGATAATTTGTCTCCTTCAGTTACGTTCGGGAAGGACGGACCATTCCAGACTTTCCTGGCTTCTCCCATTTTCGAAGCACTACGGGTTCAACAGTCTTCATCGTTGGCTAGAAGGGTGAGCTGCACTTGATGTCTGATAATTCCTCTCCTTCAGTTACGTTCGGGAAGGACGGAGATACCCTTCCGAGACTGAAACAGTGCCACTGTTTTTTCTGGTACTCAGTGCTTCAGCGGACGTGGTAGCACCGTGCCACAAGCAAAACTCATGATAAGTTGTGTTTTAATCTCGTTCCATGGCTAATTGACGTCAGAAGTTGGAGTAGTTGGGGGTACGTTTAGGAGGCAATTCTGATAAATGCACTCAACTTCGGCGCCTATGAGTCAATTTCTACTCGATTTATCCGTCCCTTACGCTGCCCTGAAAAGCGTAAATCATAACGACTTCAAATGAATGCATGACCGGGACTCACATGTGTTCCAAAACATACAGTAGTTAATTACTTAGCCGCGGTCTCGGTAAACAATGGGAATGTGATCAATTTGGGTCTGTGGCTTTAACTCTGTTGGAGTACAATATTCCGCTGGACGACTTTGTTCACTGCAGAAGTTAATACAACACAAAACAGTCTTCGAACGCCGCATAGTGGAAGCAGCCATTCGCCGCTGTTTGGACATACGGAGTCCAATCTATTTCGACCACTCAGATGAATCTCAGATGCGCTAATACTGTCCACTTTTGGATTCGAATCTGCGGCATTCACAACCATATCTAAGCTTTCATCTCGCAGTAATAGAACATTCGATGCATCGTAAACGCTTTTCATGATTGTGTCAAACCTGAAGTTGATTAGGGTATGAGCTAATGGCATAAGATGGCGACGATCAGCCTTCCTGTTACCGGACTTATTCACAGACATTGCCAGAAAAACCACCTCACCAACTAAATACTTTCGTTTGAAAAGAGATAGTCTCAGGTTTTATGGATAAATGCGATTCCTCCACCGTGTTTCTGGTATCCTACCATAATTCACTTTGTTAGAACAAGTGCTTTGACTTGACTTTGTTCGCTGGAATGGGTAAATGCCCGACTAAAACGTTTAAGCCCGCTTTCGCAGGTGGTAAGAACCCGGACTTGTCGATTTATTAATCTCCCTTAGTGATCACCATATTCTCCATACCCACATTGTCCCACACGTTCAATGAACCATACATGCGAGCCTCACCCTATCTGCCGGC